GCAAGTGTTCCTTGCTCAGCAACAAGGGCGCCTGCCCCTGACGCCTCTGAGCTTGGAGCCACCGAGATCTCGGCAGCGTTCCCTGCCAATAGAAAATGGTCTTATGTCAGAAAACAAAAGAACAACATAGAAGAAAAACCACAAAAGATGAAGATACTAACCTCGGTGACCTGAGCAACTTGCTCGGCGGCCTAGGCTACCTCCTCGGCAGCCACCTGGGGAGCTCCCTCGGGCGGAGGACTCCCAGTGAGATCAACCGCGTCGGCGTCGGTGGCTTTGGAGGTCACCTCTTCAGCACTTCGAGGGGCAGAGGTCTCCCCCGACCTCTTTCTCTCCCTTCTTTCTTTTTCGGCGGGTCTCCAGGGGGGCCACCTCCTCCTCTTGAGGCTCTGGAACTTCAATTTCGGCGATGTTGTAGCGGTGCTTCAACTCATGCCACTTGTTCCTGCCCATTATGCCTACAAACACAAGAAATCAAATACATCAGTAACAGAAACCCTTACAAACCCTAACACTTGAAAAGGACAAGATACTCACTCTCTAGACCCCTCTCCTTGTACGCCGAATTAGCAAGCGATAGGACGAGCTTGCAATCCAAGGGACGAGGGAACGCCTCAAGGTTTGCAATAACAACGGACTCTGAAGCCGACAATTGCAAATTCTCCACCCCGTGAAATCTAGAGGAGGAGCACTCAGTCTCCCAATCCCGGACTGCAACTAGGGTCCCAACCCCCAGACCTGCTTCACATCGGTCTCATGCACCGACGCACAAGCCGACCCATGAAGTCAGCAAGGCTCCTACTCATGCCGCGGGGGATCAGGCAACCTTCCGCCGCCACCCTTTTGTGGATGGCATTATGGAGACACCACTCCCTCATGGGTGGAAGCCTCTCCACTTCGACCGCTACGATGGCACGACGGACCCAGACGAACACATCGACATGTACACAACACAGATAAATCTCTACACCAACAACGATGCTATCTTGTGTAGGGTGTTTCCGACCTCACTTAAGGGGGTCGCGCTCAACTGGTACACCCAACTGCCTCCCGAATCCATCGACAGCTTCGGCACCCTAGTCTGGAGGTTCACTGCGCAATATGCGACGAGCCGACCTCACCATGTCACTTCAGCCGCCCTGGCTAGTCTTAGGCAAAACGACGACGAACCACTCCGGACATTCATGGAACGGTTCGCTGCCACCTCGATCAAGATCAGCTTGTGTCGTGAGTCTCCCCGCGACATGGACGAGCTCCGCGCCCGCGCTAGCTGCAGGTTACATTCAGATGGAGGAACACTCCGCCTTCCGTGACCAGGTTCGCGGAAAAGGACCAGCGAAGCCAGAGCAGGGGCACAACGATAAGGTCAAAGTCAACAATGACAACTAGTTCAAGAAGTCGGCTAAGGCAAACAGAGGGGGGAGGTATGACTTCTACACTCCCCTGAACGCACCCAGAGTCCACATCTTGGAAGAAGCCAGCAACAACAACCTACTTGCCCTTCCACCACCAGGTCACACTCCCAACAGCGCCGACAAGTCCAAGCACTGTCGGTACCACAGGAACCACGGTCACACCACGGAGGAGTGTCGCACGCTCCGGGACCGTATCAAAGAGCTCGTCCAGGCAGGTCACCTCGGCCAATACATCCAGCGACAGTAGGGTCACCGAGGAGGCTATGGAGGTCGGGGGCGTGGCAGAGGCCGAGGTTCAGGAGCTCGCACGGACCAACCCTCTAGCTCCCAACAAAATGCCAGCGGCACAGTGCAGGCCGAGATAAGCCAGGAGACAGGGACAGCCCCCTTACGGGGAGTGATTAACACAATCGCAGGTGGTTTCGCTGGGGGCGGCGCCAGCAGCTCGGCCCGAAAGAGGCACCTACAGAACGTCAACTACATCCACTCTACCACCTCGGCCTCGCACCAAAGCTCACCGCCAATCTCCTTCTCTGACGAGAACTACGCGGGCGTCAGCCCCAACCAGGATGATCCCATGGTTATCATGGGAGAAGACGATCAAAAATATATTTTACCTTTTTATGAATGTAATACATAGAGAGAAAAAACTAACAATGAAGATAACAAAATTTTATAATCATATCACTTTTTTATGTTTAAATATAAATATAATAATTTATTCTATATTAATATAAAATTACAATACTATTATACTTTTAAAAAAAAAAAAATTTGGCCCCTTCTTAAACATGGGCCTAGGCAGTCACACCTCTAAACAACCCTAATAGCACATTATAAATTATATGAACAGCCACCAAGATAAACACAAGGTTATAATTACCATTAAATTATATGCAAATTCCATAATACATAACATCCTATAATTAGTTATTTAGCATAGCTTATTTAGTTTTTAACATATCCTAAAGCACACCATAAAATATAGAAAATCAACAATTGAACATTTACAAGGTAGCATTCAGTGTGAGACATCCTATGCCCAACATAAGTTAAGCAAAGAACACATGTTGCTATTTACAAAACATGCTCAACATGACTACACTAACACTTATAGAAGATGTATCAAGGGAGCCTATGGAGCTCCAAAGCCTAGTGTGGACTATCCCATGCCCGATGTAGGTGACATAGAGAATAACCTATACTCTCTATCACTCCCACGCCCAACTGTCTTTCATGCACCATATATCATATAAGAAATTTCACTATTACAAAAACACGAGAATCACATAATACATATATAAAACTTAATTTACTAATTTCAATCGATTATGAACACTTTTTAAAGTCCTACTCTTGTTAATAAATCACATACAAGAACAATCAACGAGGTTGAAAGCCAACCTTACCACCTTGCAGATATCTCACATTCTAGAGTGAGACTACTCACTTATTTTTACCTTGATAAGCAATTGCAAACAAGCACAACCCTCTAAGTGGTTGCCTTCCAAATCTCTCAACAGCTCCTCAATTTTTTCATAATATAAAGGACCAAGCGAAAGCATTAAAATAATAAGTGTAATCCTAATATGCTAACGATCCTAATTTATAAGTTTGCTCTTAACCTTATCTTCTTTTAAGATTAAAAAAATAGTGTATAACCTAAATCATATATTTTTCATATTCACTTAATTAGATAATTATTTAAAATACATATATAAGTAAATAAATTGATTTCATTATTTTTAAGAAAATTCCTTTAATTAATTAAAACCTTTTATTAATTGTATTTAGAAAAAATCGAGGTGTTATATAATGTTCCATGTGTGTCCACCTTACATCCATATTATTATTAGAGACTAAAATGAATAATTAATTGAAACCTTTTAGTAACTGTATTTAGAAAAAAAATCAAGGTGTCATATAATGTTCCATGTGGGTCCACCTTACATCCATATTATTAGAGACCAAAATGAATAATTAATTGAAACCTTTTAGCAATTGTATTTAGAAAAAAAAATTGAAGTGTTATAGTTATTAGAGGCTAGAATGAATAATAGTTCTTTCTTCCAACAATCTTTCGGAGGTGTTTAATACGTGAAATATTTTTATTTTCTTAAAAATTTTAAATCATAGATTTTAGTTTTACATGTTTGATAATTATTTAAAAGAATTATGAAAATATAATTTTTTGATAACTATTTTTATTCAATTTTTTCACAAAAAATATTTTCATAGGATGAAATTCAACTTTTCCAAGTTAGGAGAGAAAATTTTATATATATAAAAGATCGTAGTATTCCTTTTTAAAACAAAACACTTAATTATTATATTTTTAATCCATTCTCACTTCAACAACAAACATAAAAACACATTAATTTTTTAATTAATTAAAATATAAATTAAATTAAATAATTCACTAGACATGTTTTTTTTATCATTTTTAATTATATTTTTAAGAAAAAAAAGAAAAGAAAATCAGTACAATGTTTCATGTATAAAGTTTTAATAAATTATTTTATTATATTTTTTTATTACAAAATATTTTATTGTTATTGGGTAGGAATTAAAATTTACTTTTTTATGATTTTTCTCGTTAATCTAATAATAAAAATTATATAATTATATAATTTTCATAAAATATGATATGTTATAATCATTTAAAATTTATAAATTATAAAATTGCATTGCTAATTTTTTATTATGATTTTTAACTTATAAATTTAACAAATTATTTAAGCAAAATAATGCTATATATATTTTTATTTTATTTTATTTTATTTTCTAGTTTACTTATATTTTAATTTTAATGTTAATTTAAATTATTTTATTATCATGATAAACCATGAAAACTATTTTATACTTTGATTTATTGTGATTTTCCGTATAGTTTAATCATATGTAAATTATTGATTTGTTAATTTAAGCTAAATATAATATTTTTTTATGTTAAATTATGGCATGGTTAAACCTACAAGAAAGAAGAAACTTAATTTTTTTAAAGGATACTGTTATAAAAAAATATTTATATAGGTAAAAAAGTAATATTGTGATGTGAGAATATTTATTTCTCATAAAATCTATATTAATATTCTTAGAAATCTTTATTAACAATCAAATGAATTTTAATCATTTTTAAAAATTATAATTCTCAAAATTTATAATTATGATAAATCATGATTCTCACATATAAAATAACTTATCCCTAATAAATGCTTCCTGACTATCATCTAATGTTATAATTGTAACATTTGAGATTTATTCGAAATTGTGATGTACCATGATATATTTTGTCTTCCACTAGAGTTGCATTCATCCTTTGGTATCTCATCATTGTTAAAGCCTTTACCTGCTTTTTGAACTTTTCAACTTATTTTCCTTATTGTTTTGCCTAAATTCTTCTTCAAGAAGAACTCTAATATCGTCAAAGGATAAATGCCAACAACAATAATAATAATAATAATAATAATATTATTATTATTATTATTTAGTTAAACTAGTTCAAAACAAGATAATTAAATGCAAATTAAATTAATTCTAATTTAACAATCAAGTTAATAATGAGGAATATTGAAAGACGAATAATTATAAAGTTAAATCATGTTCCTTACTTGAATGACTCTCCTTTTACATGATGTGACATGTGGAATTGGCAAACTAATTATTTTGTACATGGACTAAAATAGTTTTTTTGTATATGACAAAAAATAGTGCGTTAATAACACCACCATATTTTCCTCCAGTTTTGGTAAGGTACATCCAAAATGAGGAATTCCTATAATAAGAATAATAAAAATAAAAAATAAAAGCTTTAAAAAGAATCTGTACATGTAACCTTGAAATTGGGCTAGTAATAAGCGTAGAATACACAACCTATTCAATATGGACCCACATTGCTTTGCCAGGTATCCTACGGTGAACAACAAAGAGCAAGTAATGTCCAGGTGGAGCCACCTCGCGAAATGGCGGTGCCTTGGACGTAACTGTGTAAATCCCTTGGGATGTTGTAAGAGTTAAAGCGGTGAGAACCAAGAGCCTCTGATTCATGGAGTAGCCATGAGTAGTGAAAGGTGGAAAATACAAGGTGACCTTAATGTCACGCTTGGTCAAACTCTGATTCATATCTTGAATTTTGAATTGAGTTTCAAAGTTGACTCCATACGTCAAATTCTTCTCGGAAGATTCCTCAACAATTTGGGGTCGAACTTTGTCCATAGCTGGGTCCAAGTAAGGAGGGGAGAAGGCCTCAACCCTAGTCTCAGTAGGGAACTTGTCGACGTCCTTGTAAGTATCATGGGGGTTGCTACCACCGACCCAAATTTTGCCACTAGGAAGCACTGCTGAGCTTGAGTGGTACATTCTAGCTATTGTTGAAGGCGTCAACACCTTAAACCTTTGGCCATTAGGTTTTTCTGGCCAATACAACACTGGTGTGAAGTTAGGGTCATCAGCATCCCACCATGCAGCTGTGCCCTTCTGTGCACCATTGATGAACAAGAGTTGTCCATTAGGGAGGACAAGACAATCCCCCATGCATCTCCCTGAAGGCATCTCTTCAGTGACCCACTGAGCGTTAGGATCCGTCACCACCATTCTACCGCAGTCTTTGAGAGCTGGCAAGAAGATCTTTTTAGTCTCGGCTTGGTGGAAACCGTCATAAGTGTTGCCACCACATACAATGACCTCAATCTTAATGGATGTGCTATTGAGCTCAGTGCCTTGGAGTTTTATGGGGAGGATCGCTGACATGCCCGAAGCCGGGTAGTTTCGAGAACCCCCTGGGAGGATAGGGTATGTGCGAATCACTTTGTTGGTGTTAGGGTTTAGGAGGAGGGAACGGTTGTTGGCAAAGACGAAGAGGTTGCCGTCAGTGATAAGGTGGACAAAAGGGTAAAGGTTGTTCTCGTCAATGTCTGAGGTCTCGTAGAGGAATGGGAAAAAGTATGATCTCGAACTAGGTGCCGATTCCTTTGGAAAAAACTCATAGCTGAAAGCTCTGCGCCCTCCTATCACAATGAACTCTCCGTTGGGAAGAATTATTTGAGTTGCATACCTAGCATACATCATTCAAACAACAAATCAATAATGCATTGTTTTTTTGTTTTGTCACCGATATCTTCTGAGACTAATCATTTATTGTGATTGTCAGCTAATCTAATGTGTTGTCACACACGATTGGATTCAGATATGAATTTCTGTTAAATAAATCATTTTCACAATGTAAAAATATAGAATGCCTAATCAATACACTAACTCATCAGTTTTGATTATTTCACCATATGTATATGTATGCTTTATTTATCATACACAAGAAACTAATTAATTCTTGATTAATGAGCACATGCATGTACTTACCATCTTTCCTCTAGAAATTTATTGGGGTATTCCCTCCAATCACAGTTTTGGCAATTAGGTGGACCACCATAGTATCTAGAGGTTTTCCCTCCGTCTGCGAAGCCACCAGCAACGATTAGTGTACCGTCAGGTGAAAGTCCTCCACATGAGCACCATGGATCTGTCTTTACCTACACCAAATTAAAAGTTCACATTAGGCAATGCATTTAATCAACTCTTTACATTTTGTAGCCTTTAATTTGAAAGTGTTGCACACACACAAAAAAAAATGTTTCCTCGTGGTTAAACATTAGGTTTTCTTTCATTTGTATAAACTATCTTCTCTAACAAAAATAGAATATTATAAGAAGAATATGATACATATAATACATAATACAAATAAAAAATCAATCTTTTTCCATGCTATAACTATAAGAAGAATATTATTGACGGTGTTTTTCTAAACCTCTCTTTATTATCGATTAAAACTTATTAAAAATTATAAATTTCATCTTAAATTAATTTAAAAAAGACATAAAACCCAGAAAGTATTAAAAAATTGTGTCACTAAAATTCCTCTTTAATTTTTATTTAGTATATATACCACTAAATAACTGCCCTAATGAAGGGGGGCATATATTCCTAAATATATAGGATTGTAATGTATGGAAAGAGGAAATAAAGATAGCACTAACCGTGAGTGCTCTAACTTGGTTTGTCTCAATGTCGTATTCCATTGCATGAGCAAAACAATCTGGTACATCTTTTTTAAGGTTCTGATCAAAGAATGTAACACAGGGCATCCCATTTGGATACTGGAGTCTAGAAGTACGGTAAACATTGGTATCATAGACAATGACCTTGTTAGTTGGCATCAAATTGACATGCATGGCAGATACACCAGAGTTCGGATTGATCAAATCCCAGTTCCCCATATAATCTGTTTCAAAATCAGGCTTGCCTTTCATATGCTGTAAAACAACTTTCGCCTCTTCAACTGCTGAAGCAGGGAAAGGAATTGTCCTGTGAAACCTTGGTTGGGCATCCGCGGCAAGGAACAACAAAGTGAGAAACAAAACAACTTTGTGATGCAAAGGTGCCATTAATTGTTTTTTGGATAAAGGTGTTTGATGAGAAACCTTAAAGAGGAGGGACCATACCCAACGTACTTGAAAGATCTTGGGTGTGTCTAGTTTATATATGTTCATGATTCCTTAGCCTATGCTTCTGTCTAATGAACCTTAGTCTTGGACTCCATGTGACCATTGATTGTTTAAGCATTTGCCAAAATAGCAAATGCATTTTAGCCATTATAATAAACGGCAAGTAGCACTTTTCTCTTTAGGGAAACCTTTCAGATTTTTCCTAACAAAGTATATCCACTTTTAGATAATTAATTTTCATGAACTAAATAATTTTAGGAGAAAATGCTTGCTAGTGAATTTAAGACACTAGTTAAAAAGTTTTATGAAAAATTGTTACTACTATTAACTAATATATTTTTACTATGACTTTTAGTCAAAACTTTTATATATTAATTTTTTTTATTAATATCATTGAACATTCGTTAACATATATAACTAGTAGGAAATTGTTGTACATTATAAATATAGATATGCCACTTTTTTATCTATAAAAACTAAACTTTATATAAGAGATTTATAATGTTCATGCACTAATGAAATATACTCTTTTAATGTATAAACTATTTATCATTGCACGCTTAGATAAAGTCACATTGAAAAAAAAAATTCATTTCATTTATTTATAGTGCGTTTGATTTTGCATGCGGAGAATTTTCAAAATGTGGATATTTTATGGCCACATTCGGTAAAAATAGTTAAAATGTCAACTAGTAACTAAAAATTATTAAGCTAGCTTAATAAATTATAAATGTTTAGTAATATTATCTATTCAACTTGCCGATAAATATAAAACCACAGTAAATAACACTTTTAGATAATCACTATAATAAAATGAATTTTTAATGATAGTTAATATTATTTTTAATAGTAATAAAAATGACTACAAAATATTTTATCAGCATTTTTATATTAGTCACTATATGCAATGTCGGTAAAATATTTATTAGTAATTATTTTGTATGTTGGTAAAGACTCTTATAATGGTTAAAAAAATATATGATTTTTTGTGAAAATTTTCTTATTGACATTTAATATATTTTACTATTGTTATTAAAAATTTAAGAAATGATTTCTAACTTATATATTTTTAATTATTTTATCTCTAGTCGATACGAGACTTTATAAAGTGAGGATTATCCTTTATTTATACATTCTTTAATTGTCTTATTTTTAATCGATGTAAAATTTGAATTTTTTTTAATACATCTTTCAAGCCTAGCACTATTGAATATGGTACATGAATAAATGGTAGGTAATATGAAACCATCTTAGAATAATGAGTTATGAGTCTAATTTAAGAGAAATTCTACGGTACCTACTATAATTGTGGGGGTACCGGAACAGTCATTTTTTTTATATTTTTTTTATAATTACTTGTTTTATTTTTATTTTTATTTAATATTTTTAATAATTT